GAAATTACAAATAATAATGTAAACTGATACAATTTATACAAATTACCCAAGAAACAAATATGCAAATGAACAAATATACCTACAAATAAAGAAATATACAATTATGACTAAAATATACAAAATATGTTTCAAACGTGTAAACAACTTACAATGCCAACAACTGTGAAATTAGCTTCATAAAGTTTTGAAATGATAAAGTTTAAGATATCCTTAGTCATTGGTTGATCGAAATCATAAACGACTGATTGTTTCCAATTATCAATAAGACCACGCGCAAATACTGTCTGACAGTTTTTATGAGGACCACTTGTTTTTTGTTCTTTTTTATCTATATCTATTCTGTTTGAGAGATGTATCTCATCAAATGACAAAATACATAATTTTTCTATTTGTTTCACCTGGCATGACTTGTTATTCATTAAAGTATTTAACATTCCTGGTTCTACTGAAAATTTTGCAGCCCATTTACCCAAAGTTAATAGTGCAGGCAAGGGGTAGTTATGTGACCTTAAATAACGATAGGCCTTAGGGCTAACACTGCGTAACGATATTGCTGACGCGATATCTTCTCGTGACCACTGAATTGTTTTATTCTCGGGATGGAGTATTTTTTTCAGTTGATCAGCTGTAAAAAATTTTCCAAACATGCTTTCTAAGTGTTTGACATTACTTTCACTGTTCTTCAGACGTTCTAGCAATGCTCCATTTTCTTTCTCCACGGCACTCATTCATTTCGGCCTATACATAAACGGTTTATCATACTCTAACTGTATTTGTACTTCAGTAGATTAATTAAAATATCCGGCTTTTCCGTAAAAGTTTGTCCTATTATTAATGGAGTCGCCTGTTGATGCTCATTTATCACATGTACAAAAGTTTCTTTTTCAGTTTTCTACTTGGTCAATTTCTAATGTGAAATTCACTGTCCCTAGCGTTTGAAGTAAACCATTTCCATGACATTTCAGAGTAATAATATTTTTAGAATAACTTTAAATTTCAGAGCACTTACAATGTCCTTCCGAATTATGTTACATGCACTTCCTTAATCTCCGTAACTTTTCATATGACTTCCATTAATCCACGCGTTCTTGTAGTATATAGCATTCACAGGTTCTTCGTTTAGCCATAACATCTTTTTACTATATGCACCAATTTTATTTCCAGTCTTCTTTTCAGGACATTGAAAAGGTCTGTGGTCACTTTTAGGGCATATAAAGCAACTACTATTATTATTATTATTTTTATTCCTACGGCAATCTTTTGCAACATGTCCCATTTTCTTACACATGAAACAACGGAATTCGTTTTTATTTTTAAAAGATGTCGATCTTCTCTTAGTAAATTTGTCAACTGTTGTATGTCTATTTTATGATTCTTTTCCTGTTCTTACAGTTTTAAGTAGACTGAGTAAATCTTCAGGAGTTTGGTAATTCCCTGGTATAACAGTAGTTTCCTTTACACTATCATTTAGACCACCAATTAAACATGACTGCTTTTTCGTCCGTTATTTTCAGTTTTTATAGTAATGCTAATTTCTCATAATAGTATTTCAAATACGTTTCGTCCGGTAGTTTATTTCTATTCATCATCTGCTATAACGCGACATTGTAATCTTGACGAGTAGCAAATGCTTTCAGTAGAATTCCTTTCCATTTTTCCTAAAAATGATTTAAGGAAGGCAGTGATTTATACCATTGCAAAGCCAGGCCCGACAATTTGGAAATGATCTGCATTATTGTCCCACGTTCGGTCCAATTTAAAGATTTCCTGTAGTTCATCCACTTTATGGATCCATCGTTCAGTGGAGTGGCTCGTATATTTCGAATCAAACACAGGTATTACATCTTCTCTAAATAAACTACTTGTCTCTCAGTCCCTTGGATTGATCGATGCAGATGATGATGTGCTCGATACATGGTCAGTTAACCATGGGAACTTTTTTCATTTTTTTCTCAAAAACCGCGGGAACATTTTATGTATTTATTACATTAGAAAAAAAAATCATAGGGGATATATGAAAAATAAAAGATAAATATGAAGAAAAAAGCAAAAAATTTATTAAGATAATCTACAGAATATGCGGGAAACGTGATTATCGCGTTAATTTCTAAAAAATTGTTTGAGTATGATAAATTTTGAAGCACGGTTCCATACATAGTCCTACGTTGCATTGTTCGCACCAAGTTCTGTTTTTTTTTCTTATTTTTTTACCATCTTTACCTTTTCTTGTGCAGCACACTACACACCTTCTTCGAGGTTCCTTCTTGATTGGATTCGGAGGAATATTTTTCAAAAATATCTTCAATAACTTCAAGCCTGAAGTTCAAAAATGATTTTTTAATGTTTTTACTATTTTTCTGGTATATTACGAATGTATTGAACAATGCTTTGTCGAGGAGATGACGAACTACTTTCTTATAATATTTTTTTTGCTGTTTTCTGGTGGTCTCATAGTTCTTGATCAGCTCGATCAACGCCCCCCATGGTATGATTGTAATCAATTATTAGCTGAGGCTTTACCACTTCTTGACCGTTTGTAAGTTTGAGAGTGCACGATGATGAGTTATGCACTGTATTCAAAGCACAAACTGTTTTTTTGTTTTTTTATCTTGCCACTTCAACACGGTCACTTTTCCTCTTTGGTAAGCTTTTATTTCCCCTTTTTTTAATTTTATGCTTGCAAAACCTGTTGGCAAATCTTTCCTGTTTGATCTGAGTGTACCGTAAATATCTGTCTTATGTGTTAGAAGAAAATCAGAAAGTTGAGGAAACGTGTAAAAATTATCAACAGTAACACAATACCCTTTGTTTAGTAATGAATCCATTAGATATAAAACAGTTTTGTTTGATAGAGGGTAATTTTCATATTTTTACGTATACAACGTATTTTTACCAACATACAATAGAAAATTCCAAGTATAACCTGATTCCGATTCACATAAAAAGTATGACTTTATACCAAATCGAGATATTTTCATAGGAATGTATTGCATCCAGTCAAGTCTTCCCTTGAAAAACATCAAACTTTCGTCCACAGTAATATTTTGTTTGGGAACCAATACTGCTATGAATTTCAAACGCAAGTATTCTACAACTTCATATAATTTACGTAATTTTGGACAGGGATGTGATTCTGGGTTGAAAGTCGAATTATCGGAAAAATGCCAGTATTTCATAATAAGTCTAAATCTGTCTCGGGACATAACTTTTGCAAAAATAGGAACACGAATTGATTCTCTTTTTGACCAGTACTATTCTTGTTCAGGTAAATGAACTATACTTTGTAATAACAATACGCCTATAAATACTCGCACTTCTGCAGTATCTACATTCACCCACTTCTTTGATTTAGGATGTTGTTTGTTGCGCTGTTTCCTGGTTGGCGTATTTATTTGTTTCACTTACCAAAATACCAATTAGCTCATCATCTATGAATATTTCGAAATAGGCAAGTGGTTTTGCATTTTCGTTTAGGTTTGTGTTTACTCCAGGTGTTGATGTAAAAAGAAAATGTGACGGAGCAGGAGGAATAATATTTTGATCAATTTCATTCCAAATGCGCGCACTTGAAAAGCCTTCCTCTTCTGCATCAGATTCCTCACTGCTATCACTCAAAATTATTATTAATTATATTATTCATCCGAACTATTACAATCACTCGATGCTAAATTAACGCTTTGATCATTCGTTTCGGAATCACTATATGTTTTTTCAATATTTTTACTGTAAGATTGTAACAGGAGTTCATCCTCACCACTTTCACTATCATAACAAATTGCATGTTTCGACATATTCATAATTTCCTTGAAATATAGTTCAAATAATATTGAAGAATAATTGTGGATAAAACATTGCGCTCTTCTATTTATGTACGTATATTCTGAACATGCAGAAACTTGCACATGCACTACTGATACAATTATCCAGCCTGTCTGTTGTGATTCGTCTAAATTTTTACTACAATACCTTCACTTATTTCATGCCCCCACAAGAAACATATATGACGGGGAATAAGCGTTTCCCGACGTACAAACTCTTCAAAAATAGATGCGACGCGGTAATAGCGTGGCTCGCCAAATTTAACAAGATGCGGATAACGCGATTTCCGCGTCGCCCGCGGTTAAAGAGTTAATTGACTTACTATTTTGGTTAACTGTCTTAATTGTTCGCTCGTACTTATATAGTAGATTATTCAATACTATGAATTGGCATAAAACCGATTGATTAAAACTCTCATCTTCAGAAGATGTAGAAAGTTGTCTAACTTGTCGAAGACTCATTTTCACAATTTACCTCTTACTCACACAAATTTCAAAATCGAACTGTCTGCATCACGTTATAATTTCTTACCACCACATTATACTAAAACATACACAGACACACGTTGAGCGTTTATAATTTATTAGTTACACAACCAACACTGTAAAGTACTCAAGACATTTCCAAAATCCTTCTACAGCAATAACATATTTTGCACCCTCATCTTTGACAGTATGAGCCTATGTTTTAGGAACGATATTAGAAGTAATACGATACTTTCTACCCTGTATACCCACTTAACTCTGAAAAATTTGTATGTCAATAGATCAACCTTTCTGATTTAAACCTATCGACCACCAAGTGATATTTCAGCAGGAGACGTATATTTTGAAACGAAATTTCTGAAAAGAGACTTACTTTGCTAACATGTCGAGCTCTTGTCACGTTCGTTCGGGGCTGTCGCTTGCGGGCCGCGGTGGGCGGAGCATTATCTCCGCCCGAAATGCGAAGTTCAGCAGTCGAACGACGAATTTTATACTTTTGCAAAAACACACTCTGTCAAAGAAAGAAAATACATTGTAATTAGAACATACAAATGGTCAGTTATAATTTCCACAAAAACTCTGTTTCATTTTCACTCAACAATGTAAATGTTATTTTTATTTATTGTAGTTTTGAAGATGGCCCAAAACCAAGGAGCCGAAACGTCAAATAAAAATTGACTAAAATCCGTTACTTAGGTTGTCTGCTTTACAAAACCCGGTCATTAAGAAAAACATATGAATTTAAAAAAACAAAATAATAAAATTGAAATATCGGAATATCGAAAACCTACCCATACTGACACAACAATACATAAAAATTCTTGCCACCCCATACAACATAAACATTCTGCGTTTAAAAGTATGATCGATAGATTGTGCAAATTACCTTTAAACAAAAACAACTTTAATATACAATTAGCCATTATAAAACAAATAGCGTTTAGTAACGGTTATGAGACAAATCTTATAGATAGATTAGTTTTTAAAAAACAAAAGAAATTAAGTTTAGACTGTGTATTCCCTTATGTCACATCTAAAAATTTTAAATTTAATACTTTAACATATTCAGGCCCTTCTACCATTAAAGTATTTAAAGAAATAAAAACAGAAAATGTCATGATAGTTTTCAGAACTGTAAACCATTTATTTAAATTTATTAACAATAGAAAAGACAAAACAGATTTATTCCTAAAAAGTGGGGTATATAAATTAACTTACAATAAATGTAATTCTATCTACATAGGCCAAACTGGGCGAACGTTTAAAGATCGAATCAATGAACATTGTAAAAATTATAATCATAAGTCTAGTTTTATGAACCATATAGAACAAACTGGACACAAGTTCGACAATAGGAAAAAATTACATATAAAAGACAAAAGTACAAATCTAACAATTTTAGAGTCATTTGAGATAAGGTCACATTTAAATTCAAACAGTGAAATTGTAACAAACGAAATAGAAAATATTTATGATTCCCCTATTGTCAGAAGTATGTACACCCCCTCCGTATTTACACCCCCCACCCCTTTTACATTTTAATATTTCTCGTTCTTTCTCATCGACATGTACCGTCACACCGGTGGTGACGGGTCTCCCTATGAAGCCGTTCTAAATGCTCCTTACATTGTATTTTCAAGCAGTAATGATTCCTCGATAAATTTAATTTTCTTACATGGAGTTTACATGTGGGTACCTCATTATTTTCCAGACGGTTTCGCGTTTAATTGAAACGACTTATGAAGGAAAAATCATTAAAGCCAATTACGGCACAGATAAGTATTTTTTGAGAAATAAATTGGCTGAATTAGTTATAAAAAGTGAATTGAAGTTTGGAAACTACTTTTATCATACAAACGTTGCACTTTTATTGTAGAATCTCTTCTACTAGCCAACTAGCCAACGAAATAAACGATATATTCCCCTATGAAAGCCCCGAAAAATTATTATGTTCCATATGTTAATAATAAAGGGAAATCCAAAGTTGCTAGGGGTAAACTATTTTTTGCCTACTGCTATTTACGTAAAAATTATAAAAAGTATGGACTCATACCATCTTCAAACAAGAATATAAGTAAGACTGTTTATTTTATTTTGTACTACAACAACACAATTGTATTAATTTTAAAAGTATGTATGTAGTTGTAAATGATCTACAAAATAATGATGTTTTTACAATTTCGGCACTTACAGAACAAAATACGCTTGAAGAAGAAGCCATTCAGTAACTCAAAAATAATATAGAACCTTTTACTGAGATAAAAGAACGCTGGAAAAGTACTTTTCAAAGTAGAACTGTTTTACAAAAAAATTATCTTTGAGTATTTCAAACCATTTCCTTGTTTGAATCTACCTTTAGGATTCACATTGGTAGGTTTCTTCCATTAACGTGGTTTTACTTCTACGTATTTATATTATTAACTTTTAAAATAATAGTTATGCCTTAAAAATAGTTTCCGATTTAATTGTACAATTAACAGAATGTTCCTTGTTGAATTCTAACAATTGATATGCAGAGACCTTTTTGAGGAAAAATACTTCATAATTTCGGTTATATTGCAGTTGGAAGATGATTTCAAACAACTTTTTCCGCATAAAGAAATCTGCCTAATAAACGAATGGCCAGATATTGGAACAAAAGTGTTCAAATTAGCTCAAAAAAAGACAAATAATTATCTTGGGGACCTTATTGCGCAGTTTACATTACAAAATTGTACAAAAGGTAAACTGTTAGTCTTGATGTTTTATTCTAGTTTCATGTAATTTTGCTGCAGACGCAACAGAAGTTTTTACTTTATCTATTTTACCGCTTTTGTTTCCTTGCTTAAGAAAAAGTGTTCTGTTTGGTTAGCGATATATTTTTTTATTTCATCATGAGTGGTGAAGGTAAGATGGTTGCTTTAGTGACTGTGCGTTTATTATTAACTTTTTTTCTTCTTTTAGAATTACTTGATTTAGTTAGAAATCTAATAATCGGTAAATATACCATTCTAGAGGTAAGTTAAAACAATATTTACATTTGATAGTAATAATTTTAAATTTTTAGGGAATTATTAAAAAGGAACAACCTCCCCTGGTGCTATTTATGTAAGCATCACTATCTACCCTGGGGAGTACGTTCACGTATTATTCACAGTAGAAAGGGGGCCTGCTCCACAGGCCACTATTTACCTTGGTACGTATGTATCTGTCTGCATGTACACAAAAAAAAAAAAGAAAAACCAATAGTTTACCACTTTTTTTTTTAAAAAAGATCTTAATAATTTTACATTTTCTCTAGCACACTTTGGTATTTTATGTATAATATCATGTAAAGGTGAATATAAGTAGTTATTTTTTCGGTTTCTTAGCACGAAGGATGTGCTGTAATCAGCAGATAGTAATATGTATGCATTTACGTATGTATCTGTCTGCATGTACACAAAAAAAGAAAAGAAAAACNTCATTGCAGTTTGAAGTCTATCAAATTATATTTAAACTCTGAAATTTATCCATATGACAATATCAATGTTAATTATCGACAAAATCAATTTGCAATTTTATACCAAATGTATAGCAAATTTCAACAGTCGTATTATTGGAATAAGAACAGCGCCGAACTAGTTCTTACAGCAGATTTGTTTAAGAAACGTGCACCGCTAGCGGTAATTGATTGCTCACACCAAAATGAAACGGTTTAAAACGGTGCTGTTGATATTCGATTAGAATTTGAAACTGCTGAAGATGTAGCTGCTAAAACGTCGGCGTATTGTTTATATAATTATACACGAAAGATTTGTAAATTACAATCCACTCACAGGTGTTGTGCGTAATTCATAAGAAAAGAAAAAAATGCCCGTTAAAATTAAATACAGGTGCCCTAAATGTAATGGTGAAACTGATGAACCTGATACGGGTTGTATTCCTTGCAATTTTACAGAGTATATGAAGACAAAAAGTGGACATAAACACATTTCAACCACTTATTTTACTGATAAAGGTCCCTCAGCTGATAAGAATTAGTCATAAGTTCGTATCAGTATCATGTGACCTATTTTTATGTGTTTATTATTATTATTCTCTGTTTTCAATATCAAAAAAGTACAGTAGTAGATAGTAATGTTCAAAAACAGTTTAGTGATGCATGCTTGCACGGTTTTAAAAATATAATGGAAAAGTCTGTAATCGTTGATTTACAAGGTTTTAAAACAAACAATAATCAATTTGTGGCAAAAGAAGTATCCGTTTGCAATCTTTCGAACGAAGACATAAATGTATTTTTATTTAAACCGCCACATCAATATCAATATCTATCACCGAAATACGTACGTGAAAATCGTTGGTTGAAAAGGAACTTTCACGGAT